GATGACATCTTATGATGCTGAGGAAGACTTTGCAGATCAGGCCCTTGTGCTGAGGAATGATTGCTTTTATGAGAAGCGTGTGGATTGCTACCTAAATTTCAGCTTGCTTTTAAGCATTCTTAAATGTCCTTAATCTAGACCCATCATCTTTATTTTTTTTTCAAGATGCAAACCCCAGACTGTTGGGAGGTGTTTAAACCCCTGTGTGTGGCACTCAGCGTAAGGTTAAAAACAAAGCATTTCTTTCTTGAGCACTGTACAGTTCAGAAGCACGGGGAGAGTTTGTAGCCTGTCTGCCAGGACTTGCACCACACCCAAGGGCTCTCATTATGCCTGGGGAGGGCAAGAGGATTCGCTGTTTTGGAGGAGGATTAATTCATCAAGGAAACCTTTGCCGTTTCTTTTGTCTAAGAGTGCCCTTCCCTAGGGCACCATGCTTTGTTGTCAGCAGTGACTAGTTAGCAGTGTTGCATTTCTTGGCCTCAAAAGTGAAACACAGCACCTGATTCTGTGAGATTGAAGTATTTGTACCTCTGGAAGGTATGAATTGGGAAACGCAGTGCAGTGCTGAGAATACAAGGGTCTCCTTGATGTTAGTGGAGACCACCTGCTCCACCAGAAGGTGCCATATGCTTAACCTTGTCCTTGCTTGTGGCCTTGTTTTTAGACTCCTGAAGAGGAGGAAATCTTGAACAAGAAGCGTTCAAAGAAGATCCAGAAAAAATACAATGAGCGAAAGAAGAATGCCAAGATAGCAAGTATTCTTGAGGAGCAGTTCCAGCAAGGAAAGCTACTTGGTGAGTCCCTGGCAGCATTAATGTGGATGGGGATCAGGGAGTCAGGGTACCAACAGGGTGCCAGAGCAGATCTTGGTCTTGGGATCATGTAGTGTTCTACTTGCTGTGATAAAGCTAACTGCAGGGTGAAGGCAATGGAATGTTCTCCGTATCTCCAGGAGTATCTTCAGGGTCTTAAATGTAACTTGTTCTTTTATCTTCTCTGGAGATACCTCACTTCAGGAAGGGGAAACCTATTTCTGGAGCTTGAGTTGGTACATGTCTCAGTCAGGCTCCTGGAGTTCATCATTCCTGGTTGGCCTTTGAGGAAAAATAATGGGGCTTGAGGTTGCAAAATGAGCAAAGACCCATGGGCTGCACATGTGTCAGAAAAATTTCTCATGAACATAAAACAGTTTTGACCAGTTTCAAGTTCTGGTGAATAGTTCAGTGTTCTGAAGTCTTCTGGTGATGAGACCTTTGTCCAGTTCTGCTGCTGAACTTGAGCGATGACAGTTTGGAGATCTGAAGAGGACTTCATTAGGGACTTGGTCCAGCAGAGCAGGTTCAAGAGCACAATACCTTAGGGGGAGGTACTGAAGCCAGCACAGAAACTGGTATCTCTCTTCCAGATGACTTGCTCATCTGTGCTTTTGCAGAGAGACTGCATGCAGCGTTTCTCTTGGTGTATATACTGGGGTAGTGAATTATTAAACTTTAACTGGACGACTTCTCCTTGCAGCCTGCATTGCCTCCAGACCTGGACAGTGTGGCCGAGCCGATGGCTACGTGTTGGAAGGCAAGGAATTAGAGTTCTACTTGAGGAAGATCAAGGCCAGAAAAGGCAAATGAATAAAAACTATTCTGCTGAGAGAACGAATAAAACCAAGAGTGTACTATGGTAAAGGGTTGTGTGCTCATTTGTGTGTGCAGGGTGGAGGAGGGCTTGTGTAGCTCCTCCTGCCTGTAAAATGTGAAGGAAGAAGGATCTCTCCTGGAATCCCTGAGCGCTTTTGTGTCTTCAGGCAAGCTTCTGCATGCTCTCGATGAAACCATCTCCCTGGGTTCTAGGACAGTGACTTTAATGGACCGAGTGGGTGTGGAAAAGAGTTGTTAGGCTTGGCTCAAGTGGAGAATTTCCAGTACTGGAAACCTGCAAGTGGGAGGAAGGTACAAATGTCCACCCCCATGAGGAATTCTGGCTTTCTGGGAGCTGCTGGGGTCTGGCTGGGCATGTGTGCCTCTTTTCCTGTGGTGAGTTAGGTCAGCACATGCGTTTGGGGTCTTGGAGCGAGGTCAGTGGGCGAAGGGGTCCTGCTGCCTCGGGAGAGGCGTGTCTGGGAAGCAGCTCCACAGCGGCAGTACTGTGTTTCTTAGACTGTGCCATGTCTGGCTGAAAGCTTGTCTCCTACAGCTGGTCACTCCTGCCTCTGCTTTCCAGCTTGCACATGCTCGCACACTCTGGCTGGGGCCAGCAGCCCCTTTCGCCACTGCCTGGCGTTCCCTGCCTGGTGGTACGATTACCTTCAGGGCCTGGTATGTTCTCACCGAGCCTGGCTGCACTGCTCAGTGACCAGCTGGTCTTTCCCTGACCTCCTTGGTCTCATTCCAGTGCAAGATAAACTCCTTCTTGCAGAAGGGCCAGGCTCTCGTCGTGGCCTGTCCCTTTCGAAAGCTGGGTACAAACTCCAGCTTTCTGCCCCATCCTTGTGGTGGGATTGGAAGGCTGTGGTGAACAAAAGCTTTTCCAGATGTTTTGGGGCATGTGATACCATTCCATGGGGCTACTGTCTTTAAAGCAAGCCAAGCACAATGGATCTCTGCCTCTAGTTGCCAAATGCTTTGTGCAGGGATTAGGGTGAAGTTGGGAGCCCATGTAAGGGCTGGTTCTGGGGCCATGGGGGCAGGCCAGACTCACCTGTGATGTGGGGACCCTACACGCTTCACCCCACATATAAATAAATATTTTTGCAAAAGCCTCGTTTATCCATAGGAGCACTCTGGTGCAAGGCAGGCTACCTTCACAGCTTTTAGATCTGAACTGAAAGAGATAGTCTGTGATCATGCCCCAAGTGGAGCTGTGGTGAGACCCATATCTCTAGTGCCTTAAAATGCAGGTGCTCTGCCCCCCTCCCCCCCCCCCGTGGTGCTTTTCCCTGCTGCAGTGTGTGGCAGCAGGAGGTGCTAGCGAGCTCCGGTGCCCTGGGCAGCGTGTGTTTATCCTGCCTTGCTGGCAGGGAGCCGAGGATGGGTCTGTGCCACAGCTGGGGAGACACACCAACCGCATCAGAAAACGGTACCTGTTACCTGGATGGCTGCCACAGCACGGTTATGCCGTGGTGGGCGTACGTTGGCACTGCCTCGCAGCTGGGATCTGCGCTCGTGGGTGCTGCGAGCAGAGCGGTGGCCCGCTGGGTGCAACTGGCTGCGCTTTGGGAGTCCCTGGCAGCAGGACCTGAGCTGGGCAGGACGTTTGCACAAGCACATTCCTTCTCCATAGTGATCTGGGGTAAACTTTCCCCACTCTCCAGCAACGCCTGCTTTCCAGAGAGGTGGGGCAGAGGCGATAAAGGGCACTTGGGAGGGACGTGTCGCGGCTGCTTCCTCCGAGCATATTTCTTCTCTCCCCTCCCCTTGCCCTCAGAGTGCAAACACAATTCAGGGTGTTTCTGGGGGACTTCGTACAGGTATGAGAAACAGGCATACGGAGCAAGTGCCAACTTGGTGTCAGAGCAGGAGCTGTAAACCTGGCCCCTGATGAGCAGGATTATGGCTAATTCATTCCTGCACGCTGCTTATAAAGTTGCTGCTCGGAAAAACGCAGCTGCCAAGGGCAACAGCCCGTGGGAAGGAAAGCGGCACCTATTGCCCGCTGGAGCCGTGCTGTAGGTGTGACGTGGGAACGGGACGGTGGCAGCTGGCCAGGGGCGTGTGTCACCTGGCTCCCACGGTGGCACAGGCTGCGGGACCTGGTGCGGCTCGGCCGCGGGATGTCTGGTTTCTGGTCTGGCCTTGGCGCAGCCCCGTGGATGTGCTCGGGGATTTACCTGCCTGGGAGGAGGCACGCCTGTCGTGCGCTGAGCCAGGAAGAGATGGGCAGGGGCTGGGGTTAAGCACAGCTTTAGTCTGGCTAGGTTTATGAGGTGCCAAAGCCTGGTCTAAGGACCTCACCCACTTCTGCAGGTAGGTGTGAGGGCTGAATTTTAAAAAAGCTGCTTTTCATACAAGGAGCAGCCGGCAGTATAACCCAAGTGAGAGCACTCATCATCCTGAGTGCTGCTCCGTGCTGGTTGAGTGAGTGGCTCTTTCGGCTCCATGCGGTATTAACTTTGGGGTATTTTCACAGGACATGGTCCAACCCAGAAGATGACCTTGTGGTTACGCTCTAACAGGTCCAGCAGTGACCCAGAGGGTCGTGAAGGAGGAGCAGGGCTGGCTTGCTGGGGCAGGCAGGAGCTTTAAAGGGAAGGTGGCTTTGGGAAAGAGGGGCTTGCAGAAAAGGGAATTTTTTAACATCTGTGCTAATATTCTCAGGGGAAACGCACGTGTCTGAGTGCAGGAATCTTACAGGGGCTGAAAGCATCTTTTTTCCTGTCTGTATCACTTGGTCTAATGCCCCACAAGCATCACTGATGTCAGTCCTTGGGGCTGTGACCTTTTTGTCCCAGGAGAATGCACTCCTTGACAAAATCCAAATTCACCCACTTTTTGGATAAATGTGATGTCCCTGCCGTCTCCCTGGTGGGGGTGATTTGCACAGACAAGAACCTCAAAGCTGATTTTTGCAATAGCTTTATTATTATTGAGGGGACATCTCCATCACAGTGTTGGTTTTCTGCAAGACTATTGCCCTCGTCCCGTCCCTTGCCTGGGGTCTGGGCTGTCCCCCGTCCCCTGCACTGGGTCATGGGAGCAGGGAGTGAGCCTGGCCAGCTGCAAGTCAGTGGCATTGTCACACAGATGGGCTGAATCCTGCAGTTTTGGGGCTAACAGGTAGTGTTGAAGGCTGTCTGCACAATCCCAAACCCACAAGGATTTTCCCATCAACTTGGGGACACATCTTGGCTCAGGGCTGGGTGGCAAAAGACCTGGCAGTGTCCTGCTTCTGGACATGGGGTCCGAGGGGGGTGTCCAGGGACAGGGATCTTCATGGCTGGCAGTGGCGATGCCTTGGGGTTGGGGCAGCTAGTCTGCCCCCGGGGAAGGGGTGGTTTTGGGGCAGCCTCAGGGCTCCCAGGCCTCCGGCTGGTCAGCCCCGATGCTGTCACTGGATGGTGCCTTCACCTGGATCAGCGGCAGCTCCTTCCTACATGTTTTGGAAGTCTCCGGTGGCCGGGTTCCCCCCCGGCAGCCACCAAGCACAGTGAGCTCACTGGCCCGGCTCTCCTCATCCTCCATCTCCTCCTCGATGCGGCCCACCGACTCGGGGTCCTCGGTGCGGTTGGGGTAAGGGGAGGGGAAGCCGCCGTCCACCCGGGGACGGCGCAGGTGGGGGTGACCTCGGCTGCCCTGGCCAAAGTTTTTGATGCTGATGGCAGGGGACGCGGCGGCGAAGAGGCGGCTGAGCAGAGGCGTCTGGATGCGCAGCACGCTCGGCGAGGTCTCCGCCGGCTGGCTCTGCTCCACATCCTCGCACATGCTGAGGGAGCACAGCGGGGTGATGGGGACAGGCTCCCGTCTTCCGCAGGGATGCCCCGTGCCACTCGCCGCCTCCATCCCAATGCATTTGCAAGCAGGGAGCAGCTCCGGGAGTCCGTGTCCCTGC